TATAGTATAATTATAATATAGTTGTAATTTTTAATTATATTATAACTAAAATATTATCGTTTATTATATAATTTTATAATATATTATATAATAATAATTTTATTATATTATATTAAATTTTATATATTATATTAATTATATTGATATATAAAATATAAATGTTATATATAATAATAAGGGTAATTTTGTTAATATGAAAATATTCATGTTTCATTCTATAGTATTCTTAAAATTATAACTAAACAAATGAATCAATTTTCTTTTTCATTTAATTACTATTATCATTCTCATTCACATTACTATTTCCATTCCCCCACTGCAACTAAACGCACTCTCACTTCCTAAAAAATAATCCTTTCTTCTAGCTAAATAGAAAATATTATGAAAATAATCCTTTATTTAACTAAATAAACAGAGCACATACTTTATAAGACATTTATAAAAATAATCTTTTTTTAGCTAAATAGAAAAAATTATTTGTGTACTTATTAAGGGAAATATATTTTAAATTAAGACAATACAACATTTTAAAGGACGCACAGGTTTTAACTATAGGAAAACAACCGACTTTTACTAAAAAAGTAAAATGAAAAACTTAAGGAGAACAAACACATTAGTTTATTAGTTTTATAACAAGACGTAAGTAGGTAATTAACAATCAAGTACACGCATAATTCTTTAACAACTTATTCACAATCATTAAAAAAAAAATCCAATTGACCGAAAATGAGAAACTCATTAGCACGATGCCACACAAAATACCGAGAAAAAAATTCTAATGAATTGAATATACAACCTAATACTATAAAACAAAGTAAACACGTTAATAAATAAGAGAAAAAAGACATTATTATTATAAACCGAAACATAGAAAAACAAAAGAAAAATTCCAAGCTCTATAGCCAAAACCCCAACAATGAGATGTCTAATGAAAGAGCCACTAGGATGGCAATGTTGGAGCATCATCCGAAAAATGGGTGCATGAAATCCGGCAGCCTCCCACTCCTGTCACGAGGGGCAAGTTGACATAAAATCAGAAGATAGGAGTATTTATAGAATTAAATTAGTATCATACCAGTCTTTCTTTAGTAATTACATACGGATTCAAACTAAATTGGTATTTTAAATGATATTATATATTTTAAAAGGTAAAATGATACGTTTTTAGAGATAGCAATGAGACGGGATGGGGGCGGAGAATGATTTCCAGTCCCCCGTCCCTGCCCTCCCAAATCGATCCCCATCTCCCCTTAAGAAGAGACAAGGCCGGAGTTAGAGAATTTTTCGTAGGAAAGACCTTTATATACTCACTTCATTTCCCATTTAATACAATTATACATTTTAAAATTATAGCAATTTAAAACAAAAATGAAGAGTAAATTTAAATCAAAATCAAATTAGGTTCTATAAAACAAATCATATGCAAAACAAACTTAGTAAAAAGACTTAGTAATAATGTCAACAAAAACACTAATTTTTTTTTTGAAAATTTAATATTACATATATTTATATATAAATAAATATATAATATATGTACATAGGGGTGAAGGCAGCAAACCCGCGTTTATTAATTTCCTGGAATGTCGTTTCTTAATATTATTGTCGTTTTTTAGCTCACTATTGCCACTGTTGTGTGTCTGCGTGGGTCTTTTTTACCGATCAATGTTTTTGACCCTTTTTCTTTTTCAAGTTGTGTCCTTTTTCAGGTGGTTATCATTTTTATTACGACATAGATTATTGTCTTCTCCATATGTTTTTTTATTTCCTCTTCAGATCATATATTCTTCCATTTTTTGTGGATTTTTCGTGTTCGTTATCTTCCTTTCACTGTCGTTCATATATTTTATTGTTTCTATTGTTGTCGTTTTTAAGTTATGGTTGTTTGCTTTATTTGTTTTATAGTTTATTCTACACCTAGTATGTCGTTTTTTATGATGTCGTTTCCTTATTTTGTTTCCATTTTTAATTTATCGTCGTTTAACTCTGTTTGCTTTATTATTATTGTCAGTATATTATATACCTAGCATCTGTCGTTTTTGTGATGGTGTCGTTTCTTTATTTTCTTTCCACTCTAGGTCCTTCTCGCTTTATGATGATGTAATGTAAGCTGTATATTGTTGTCAAATATAGCAGATGTCGTTTCCAACATTTATTGGTTTTTTACTTTGTTTTTTGTCGTTTTCTCTGGTCGTGAAATAAATTACATAGAAATATACAAGAAACAATAAAAGCGAATGGACAATCTGGACAGCTGGACTCTTGAGGATATGAAGCGCTACTTTCTGTTCCAACGGTACTGAGCCCTCTCATTAATCTCCACCGATATTTTCAAATGCAATCCTTTTGTCCAGCCTTTTATTCCATATATTTTCATTCACGTTTTGTGCTAAGTTTCAGTGCTACAAATCTCGTGAGTAATTAATGCCGTGTAAACTTCATCGCCACCTAATTAATAATGTCGTTGTTCTTGTCCAAATCTGATAATTAGACGCTAGGCAAGAAAAAAGACTTATTATTATTATTATTATTATTTTTATGTCATTGTCGTCCTTTTCATGTAAGTGACCATTTTCTATGTATTTTTTTGTTATTGTATGTAGGTTGACATGGTTTCAGTACTAGATGATGTCGTTTATAGCGGTTTGTCATATTTTGTTGTCGTTGATTAGATTATCTTTGTTTACAGATTTACAGTTGATACCGCCTGTTAAAATATGATCGTTTCTCCATCTTTCTGTAAATTTTAACCTTTCTTTTTTTTTTTTCTTCTCGTTTTTACAGGTGACTGTTAATTAAGTTATTATTGCTTTCGACAAGATGTTGCATCATAAGGTCGTTTGTTTTCCTTCCCTTTTTTTCTGTCGTTAATCGGTAGTTTCTCACTTTCTCTTGTATTTCGATTTCTTCTAGGTTTTTTCCGTTTATACATAAATGCGGTTTGTGTATCATGGACGTCTTTTATGGTCATTGTCGTTTGTCTCATTTTTTTTCCCTTGTTTATAAAGGTTGTCATCGTTTTTCTGGGTTGTTTCAATGTTTAGGTCGTCTACAAATCCTTTCGTTCTCTGGTCATTGACTCGTTGTTGTTTGCAGCTTGTCGTTTACTTATCTGTCTTTTTTTGGATGCTGTCGCTTTTTGATATTGTTGCCGTTCATCTCGGATGTCGTTTTTATTATGTTGTCGTTTTCAGGTCAAGTTCTTGTGGTTTTACTTATAAAGCGGTTTATAGAACAGATCTATCGTTTGTTGGATGTTACTTTTTAACTTTGTTGTTGTTTTCCTCGGATGTCGTTTTCCTAGTTTCGTTATAGTCTACCGTTTTTCTGCTCTAATCGGTTTTCATGTCGTGGTTTTCCACGTTTGATTTTTTTTTTTTTTTTTCTTTTTTTTTTTTTTTTTCTTTTTTTTTTTTTTTTTCTCTTTTAGTTTAGTTTGGTTTTGTTTGTTTGTCTGTTTGTTTGTTGGTTTGTGTGTGCGTGTTTTTCTTTTTCTTTTTTTTTTTTTAAGATTTCGGCTTTAAAAAGGCAGATCATTCACACTATTGTTGTCGTTTTCCAATTTTTTGTCGTTTTCTGTTACTGCTCCTACGCGCACATTTTTATTATTTATTATTATTTTTTTCCCGAAGTCCTCTACTCCTACACGTTTTTTTTTTTGTTTTTTTGTTTTTTTGTTTCTTCTTTTGCATAGCAAAAGTGGCCTCTCTGATAACTCCACTGGGTGAGATTGATAGAAGCATAATATTAAAGATCAAAATGGAGGTATTTCATGCTCGTTGCAACTTGGCAAATGGGATTTAGTGAATGCAGCAGCCTTCACTCCCATCTATTATGATGATGTCCACAAACCACGCAAAGACATGAATGAAGCACTTCAATTGCCAACTTCAACTCCAATACATACAGAGTAGAGATTACATCAATAGTACTAAAAAACATACAGAGATCTCAAGAGTCCACAAAAGAAAGAACAAATAATAATACAGAGAGAGAGAGAGAGAGACGCAATAACGAAATCTCGCTTCTTTTCCTTCGTTAATGGATTTAGAATACAAAATCAAATGACCTACTTGAATACAATAATCATTCTAGAACTTTTATTTTTCTCTTAAAAGGGATAGTTTGTGTTTGGCATTGGTAGCCCCATAACCTGCGAAGAAATCTGTTCACTCAAAATAGCCGAACTCTACCGCAAACTGATCCTAAATCTAGTCCATCTCCTTCAAGGGTAATCATAGATAAACCCCCACATGACAAGGAATTCAAGCACGACCACGTAGCTAAAACCAAAATTCAACAACACAACAAAGATTAGACAATTTACTTACGTTGTGGATTTCGCCAAAACATGCAACCTCCGTGTAATTTCATTTGCGCCGTCTGTTTGGGACCATATCTGGATTGCCTTTCCTCATCATGGCTACAAATTCTTCATAGTTGATTCTCCCATCCTGCAAAGAAGAATTTAGGAATCCTCACTTCAATGAAAAATTTTAAAAATACGTTTACAACAGAAAATTTTAAGATAGTAAGTGATGAACGTACGCGGTCCGTATCAACTTCTGCGATAATTTCCTTTATTGTTTTCTCATCCCCTATATTATACTTTATAAGCGCTTGTTCCAACTCTTCCATTGTAATGTAACTGATTCAAAGAGGATACGATGTTATTATAACCGAGTGTAACTGAGATACTTGAGGGTCGATGCACAACTTTTTAAGCCAAAACGGGGAAGAGACCATAGCTCATAATGATAATTAGGAAATTACCCGCTCTTGTCCTTGTCAAAATATTCAAAAGCTGTGTACAAGTGCTCCTCTCTTTCCATTCTATTTAAGTGCATAGTAGCTGTTATAAACTCAATGTAATCAATTGTCCCATTTCCATCCACGTCAGCCTGAAAATGAGAGGAATTAGTGGAGTTGTGGCATAAATCGTCAAATTGATATAGCATTATGCCCATATTTTATAAGAGGAAATCACAAAAAACCAACAGCTTTAACTAAAGAATATACACGCATGCAACAAAAACTATAAGATTCTGTAGGAATCTATGAAAAGTGGAAAAGAGGGGGGGCAAAAAGACCAAAGAAAGTTCAGATCTGATCGTTTTCAAATTCTACTTAGAAGTGCAAGAACAAAACACTAGAAAATACTGTCCTTAATTCTAGGAATATAAGTTTATGTAATTAAACATAAATCTAAAGCAGGCATGCTATCAAAAGACCAGAAACCATACCGCTTCCATCAACTGTCTCACTTCAGACTCGGAAATCTTTGTACCAAGTTTTGGTAAACCAGCTTTCAACTCTTCATATGTGATGGTTCCACTGTTATCTGTGTCCATGGATTTAAACATTTCCTTCAAGCCCATAATTTCCTCTTCAGAAAGACTTTCAGCAATTACCTGAAAGGAGAAGTTGAAATTGAAGTATGATTCTCAACTTTGGGCTTTACAAAAGAGAGTGATGATCATGAAAATGCCTTTCTACGAATCTCATCTCACTGGTAGGGACGAAAATACAAATATGTCAGGGCCCTTGAAGATATTCCTAAAAGCTTCGGCCTCGTAGACAATATGAACATTCCCTGTAATGAGTTTTTTCTTTTTTCTTTTTTTTTCCTGATCAGCAACTTTTTTTCTTTTTTCTTTTTTTTTTCCCGATCAGCAACTTTTTTCCCCAACAAAAAAAGAAAAAAAAAAAAGAAAAAAAAGGAAAAAAAAAAAAAAGAGACAGCTCTCTGCATAAAACCCCTTAAAATTGTTTTCTTTTGTACATATTTCTCCCTCCCTCCCTCCCACCATCCCTCTTGTTCTCAATAAGCAGTCAGATACAGGATACCTCATAATTATTTGTAAATGGCTTTCACACTAAAGACGGTTTAGATGTTTCAATAACAAAAAGCTATCATTCATCACAAGAAAATTTGGTCTCACCTTTAAGGCTACTTTTTTCAGTTTGTTCATTGCCCTAAATTGCTTCATTCTAGTCAAAACAGCAATATCAAGAGGTTTATCGGATGCAACACCATCTTCTCTCATCCATGGATGATCTGTATTCACATTAGATTGCGGATTTTAGTAGTAGGCTTAATATGAAGTTTAAGAAAACCAACAACATTGTAGCATAAAACATAAAAGGTGCACAGAGAAGGTGAGAACAAAGAAAAATAGAGAACCGCACAAAAGGTATAGACAAAGCATGTTTACTTCCTCAGATCTCAATCCTAAAAGACCAGCAAAATAATCATACACATGGCATATTAATGCCCATCACCTATGCAGAACTGGAAAAACAGATTGAGCAAGTGTCTATACAGCACTTGAGCTTGTTTATAGCTCTCTGTGATCCTCAAAAGAATTTCCTGATGTGTGGACTTACTAGATTGACGAGATCATATTATACTGGATACCCTGTTAATTCATTTTCTAGATTGTCAACAAGTTGCAAAATAAGTTTAGAATAGGGGTCAAACGGTTTTGATTGTTGGGATTTCCCTCTCTATGTCTTGAGTTACTGACATTAATAGCTAACTACTATATCTGCCTTTGTGTTTTTCTTTTTAAATAAAATCACCTTTTAAGATCAGGACCCTGGACCCTAGACCTTGTAAATTTTTATCCCATAAGTGAATAAGATTTAGAAAGTCTACACATTATGAAACTTACTTAGGACTTCTACAGCTGAAAGCCGTTCTTTAGGATCGGCAATGAGCATCTTCTTCACAAGATCTATGGCACTAGTGGATATTGAAGGCCATGGATCAGACGAAAAATCAATATGTCCTCGAAGAACAGCATCAAAGATACCTTGTTCATTCTCTGCATACAAATGAAAGAAAGTAAAAATGGCTATGTCAAAAAAAAACTACGCAGACATGAACTGATACTAAAAAAGGTAGCTGATATCCTCAAATTGGAAACTTCAACATACATGAACTTGTAACGAAACTATAAGCGGACTGCATAATTCATCCAGCGCAGCTTAAGCCTCTATACCAGTTAATTTGGTAGTAGTGGGGAGCTTTATATTTGAGCAATCTACTTCTGAAGTAAACATCTAAATTTCTCAAATATATGCTCCTTAGTAAAGAATCAGAAATAGATACTCTATAACTAAAATGGTGCAAAACAAACAATTGTCTTCAACTTCTATTTACTCCAATTCGACAAAAATCATACCTCCCCAGAATGGCGGAACACCACTAAGCAGAATGTATAATATCACCCCAGCACTCCAAATGTCAGCCTTCGCTCCATAACTCCGGCGCAGCACTTCAGGAGCGACATAATATGCACTTCCAACAAGATCTTTAAATACATCGCCTGAAATCATATATAGATTTTAGATAACAACTCCTTACTAAAAGAAACAATGTTGGATCTCTAAGTTAACCAATGTCATACAAAACATATGAAAAGCAATTCAATCTAAAACATACATGTATGAAAATTAACGGAGTACAATAATATCTCAAAAACACATTTGATACTTTCATGATTCATGGCCTTCAGGCTTATATGAACTACAAAATTTAAACTTTCATGATTCATGGCCTTCAGGCTTATATGAACTACAAAATTTAAGTTAAAGCTACAAATATACATAGATTATACAAGGTGACTGAGAAAAAAAAAGTTTTTACAACAATTACATTCCAAAAGAAAAACCATTTGATCTCTAAGCAATGTACTCTCAACAATCAGTTATTTGCCAGAGTGGTAAGGGCTGTAAGGCTGCTCGTTTTCCTTGACAAGGTCCTAGGTTCGAGTCAATTCCACCATGATAGATGGAATGGGGTATATACCCAAGAATTACATTCCAAAAGAAAAACCATTTGATGTCAAGCAATGTACTCTCGTTATTTGACAGAGTGGTAATAAGGCTGCTTGTTTTACTCGACAAGGTCCTAGGTTCGAGTCAATTCCACCATGGCAGACGGAATGGGCTATGCCATCCATTACAGGATGATTATTTCGATACACCATTAATATATCCTTATAACCTTTTAATTTATCAAAAAAAAAAAGAGAGAAGAAAATCAAAGATTCAAACATATGAAAATCTCAATTTCTCTCTCCTCTCCTGTACCTTTTATTTTTTTTAACAAAAAAGGTATTTCATTAAACTGAATGCATCAGTACAAATTACCCCAATTACATGAGATAATACCCTCAACCTCAACCGGCTCCAGCAGTAAAATCTGGTGAAGCTCGATGAGAAAGACTTGTACTGAGACCCGACGACGGGAAAATTCCTCAGTACACACCGATAATAGAGCACATGTAAGGCTCGTTTTGACAAGATCTCTACAATCGATGAAGGCATCCGATCGATTGAGAGCACATAACATGTAGCACAAAGGCCACCAAGCACTCCGCATAGACTAATATCCAGTGGAAGACAACTAAACCCACACAGTTATAGAGATTGGTGGAACACAATCCACACCATCGGTGAGCAACTCAACCGAGTAGGAGACATAACAAACACCAGGAGGTGGGGAAACCACATCCGTTATTACAACGTAAGGGCGACCTTTATTACAACAAAAAACAACAGTAAAAAAATGGAGATAACACCATGACTTGTTCCATATTGGTTATGCTTAATATAACAATCAATAAACTCATATATACTGAAAATCCATCACTTGTTCCATATTGGTTATGCTTAATATAACATGGATCCACTACACAACTCCAGTCAATACCGCAAGAAGCTAATTATATTAATTCAAAGAAAAACACTCCTCCGAAAACCAAGCAGAATTATCAGCAAAAACAAAACGTCAGAGAATTGATCACTAACCTGGCTTGAAGAAGACGGAGAGGCCGAAATCCGTGGCCTTGAGCGGCGAATGCTCGTCGGTGCTCAAGAACAAGAAGTTCTCAGGCTTCAGATCCCTGTGCATCACTCCCATGGCGTGGCAATCGTGGACGACCCTGACTATCTGACGACAGAGATTGGCCGCAGCCCTCTCGGAGTAATGTCCCTTGGCGATGATCCGGTCGAAGAGCTCGCCGCCGGCGCAGAGCTCCATAACCAGATTGACCGAGTGCCGATCCTCGTAGGCGCCCTTGAGCTCCACGATGTTGCGGTGACCGGTCATGTGGTGCATGATCTGGACTTCCCGGCGGACGTCCTCGACGTCGTCGCGGTTGACGAGCTTCCTCGTCGCGATCGACTTGCAGGCGAATTGCTGCTTCGTCTCCTTGTGGGTCACCAGGTAGGTTACGCCGAACTGGCCGCGGCCGAGCTCGCGGCCGAAGATGTAGGTCGAACGGACATCCTCCATGGGCCTTCCCAGAACGCGGCCCACGGCGGCGGCGGATGTTGGGGTTGCGGCGGCGGCGGGGAAATGTGGTGGTCGGGGAGGGGGTGGGGAAGGACGGGAATCGGGAGGGAGGACGTTGACGGCGTCGTTGGAGGGGCGGTGGTGGTGGGGAGGGACTCCGCCGGAGTCACCGGAATATTGTTGGCTGCTGCAGTTGCCCATTTTGATTTTCTTGGGGGATTGTTTGGTAAACGAGAGTCAATGGAAAAGTGGGAAATTGGTCACTGTTTTCTTTTTTTAAGGTAATTTGCTTTTGGTAGGATTTTTTTAAGGGAATTGGGATAGTGTCTAAAACTTATTAGGAAGGCCGCTTTACTAATGGGATCAGCTTTTTTGACTATTAAATTTTGTTAAAATAATATTAGATTAAAAAAATATAAAAAATAATAATTTATAATACATATTTGATGATTGAAAAGTAAAAAATTATAAATAATTCATTTTTTTTAATTCTATTAGAGAAATTCTCAACTTATTATGAAGAAAAACCCTCAAATTTTAGAGTTTTTACAATGGAGCATGCAATTTACTCCAACGGTGGGAACTGTTTTTACCATTAGATTAATTTTTTAACGATCATATTTATAATAGAAATAGTTTTATAATAAATTTTTAATACGCATCTGGACATATCCGATTGTTAAAAACTAATATAACAATTAAAAATAATTGTTCCTATCGGTAAAAAATAACATGCTCCATCATAAAAATTCCTAATAAAATTATAAAAAGAGACCTATTGCAGACTTAAACTAAAATATATTTTTTATTAGTACCGTAAAAAATTAACAAATAAATTAACTGAACTAACTTTTTTTGGTAAATAATTTATATCATAATTTGAGGAGCTGTAATTAATTGATTTATAATTTCCTAATTTTGGGAGATTCGCATAACTTTCATTCCTTTTTAATTGGCCAAGTTATTCGTAGAAATTCTAATTCCTCCCTAATGGCTAAATCTTCGTAGGTTTTGTTTTTTGCTTTGTCACATGTGGTTCTTGCCTTCATGATCATGTCGGTTACAGTTTATTCGTTTTTCAGGCTGTTGCCGTTTTTTTACCATGTCTGTCATGATGCTGCTTTTCTCCTCTTCCATGTCGTATTTGTTTTTCCATGATACCACTTACGTCTGATATCACTATCCTAGATATTGTCATTTTCTTTCGTACTAGTTCAAAACACGTTTTCAACGCGCAGAGTATTCACCGTATTATATTTTTTTAGATATTGGTCTTTAACGCGCGTAAAGATTAACGTTTAGTTCATAAATTAAAATTATTTTTAAATTACGTGTATTTATTGTGAGAGAAAATATTATAAAAAATTATGAACTATGATTCGAATCAGAGAATAAATCCTCCAACCAGACGTACTCAATTGCGTTTGCTATGAGGGTGTTAGATTCAGAATTGTAATTTTAGTTCCATTTTTTATTTGTTTACAAAAAGTAAAAATGATTCTTAAAAATTAGTGTTTGATTTGGATAAAACTATTTCTATTATACTTTTAGTTCAAATACTTAATGATTCTTGATGTGTTGATTTAAATCAAAACCACCTTAAAAATAAAACCACCGCCCTTGATTTTAGATGGTTCAAACCTCTAATTCTGATTCCGATTCCATAATTATGGTTTGGACTCCAAATTCAAACAATAATCATGAATATAGTTCTAAAACTAAAACCACCATGATTTTAATCCTCATACCAAACACAACCTAAGTTAAAATAATAATTTTACACATTTTTTTTAAAGAAAAAAAGGCAAAAATGACATCAATAAAAAAAAGACAAAAGAGGGAAAAAAATCTAAAGCAAAAGACAGAGAAAGCAAACAAAAAAAGGGTTGTGTGGCCAATTGTGGGGGGAGAAACGGTCGAAACATTTCGAGCCCGTTTGGTTTATGGATTAAAACTATGAGATTAAAACTATTTTTGATTTACGCGTGTTTTTTGTGAGAGAAAATATTGTAGCGAACCATGATTCGAATCAGAGAACGAATCCTCCAACCAAATGAGACCTTCGTCCGCTCCCCCAAAAACGGGTTCTCTTTTTATAGGATTTTAGATATAAAGACTTAAAATGTCTTCAAAATCTTTTTATTGACTTTGCATTCTTTTAAGAGTTTTGTTTAGTAAAAAAAATATAAAATAAAAAACTTAAGTAGAGCATAATTAAAAGGAAAACAAAATTTTTAGTGGAACAAATTATAAAGGAAATTATTTATGCGATAGGTACGAAAAAATAGTATTTAAGAGGGTTATAAGTAAAAAAAAAATATATATTTATGTAAAGACACATTTGAGAATATATGATATCACTAAAGCAATTAGGGGAAAAAAAGTTTTATGAGGGCCATATTTGGAATAATATTAAGTATGCTCATATTTGAGAGAAACTATTTAGAGATAAATTATTGTAGTTTTATTTATGAGATTAAAAAAACACATGTAAATATGACAATAAGAAAAAGTTTTTTAAAAAACACATAAAAAGAAATTAAATTGAAAAAACAACCTTTAATAAAAAGAAAAATAAGGATATATTTAAAATAAATTATTTTAGTAAGTGCGAAGCGAGGAAAATAATATTTCAAAGAAGTTAGAAAATGTTTTTAAAAAAGAAAAAGCAAACAAAACAAAAAGATAATGCCCATGTGTTAAAAGATGGAAAAACTTCTATATAATGTCACATGTTAAAATGAGAGAAAAACGTTTTAGCTTTTTTATATAGGTTAAAGATTAAAGATATATGTATATTTATTATATTTTTCTATGATAAAAATAGCTATTTCGTGACCTTGTTTTTCGAAGTTCAGATCTGCTGTCTCATTGTGACCGTCTCCTTAACTGTCCCTTCAATAGAAATTTAACACCTCATCAAAAATTTAACACATTAATTATAATTAAAATTTTGTTCATTTTATTAATTTGAGTTTTTAATTTTAATTTTATTACAGTTAAAAATTCTCATAAAAATTCATATTTAATTTTTTTATTATATTAAAAATTAGAATCACCCAACTGAACGATGTTTAAGGTCCTATTCATTTCGCTTATTCGAGTTTAGAATTTAAATTTTATTATAGTAAAAAATTCTCATAAATAATTACATCTAACTTTTTTACTACAATAAAAAATTCTCACATAAAATTATATCTCAATTTAAATTAAAAACTCGAATCAGCGAACTAAACGCGTAGATAAGTTAGCGGAAGAAAGGCAAACGGTGTTAACTGATATCATATTAATACCTCCCTACTGTCTGAAAATGTTCCCATTTTGACTCACTGGGTCCCACCGTGAGATTACACCTTCTTCCACCGTCCGATAATAAAATCAACCAAAAAAAAAAAGAAAATCAAATTATCCCAAACGTGTACCCACTCAGGGATGCTCCCATAGCTCCATATTGATAACACACTTGGGTATTAACTAGTAAGCCTTAGCCAATTGACTATTGATTCACTCTCTCTCCACTCTTTTCCCACGTCACACGAAAGCCAGCCATGGAAGAAACCTCATTCAAATCCCACCTCTCTATCTCCTCCTCTTTCTGTCGGCTTTCAACTCTGCCGCTTACTCCATCTGTGTCAACCACGGCACCGTCACCGACAACCTCTCGCCGCTGTCCCAGGTTGCCGCCTCTGACAAGAGCCTCATCTCACGTCTCTTGCCGGCGACGAAAGCTCTCCCTCGACTCTGCAGCTCGCCAACGTCACGAGCTATAAGAAAAACCCTTCAATTTTTTTTTAAGCCCATCGCACGTCCATTTGCTCTTCGTTAACTTATAGCTGGTGTGTGAAATTTTTGATGAGGTGTCTGATATTTATTGAAGCGACAGCTAAAGGAACGGCCACAAGAAAACAGCAGATGTGGACTCGTGTCATAGGTCTTGTTCACTTCACCGATTCGAGTTTAGAATTCAAATTTTACTACAGTAAAAAGCTCTCACAAACAATCACATCTAACTTTTTTATTACAGTAAAAAATTCTCACATAAAATCACATCTCAACTCAAATTACAAACTCAAATCAGCGAAGTGAAGTCTCTCTCTGTTTTTATTTATTTATTTATTTATTATTTTTACTTTTTTGCTTTGATATGCTTTTTTTTTCTTATTAGACACCGTTCGTTTTATCGATTTGAGTTTAAAATTTAGGGTCCGTTCACTTCGCTGATTCGAATTTAGAATTTGAGTTTTCTACAGTAAAAAGCTCTCACAAACAATCACATCTAACTTTTTTGCTACAGTAAAAAGCTCTCACATAAAGTCACATCTCAACTCGAATTCTAAACTCGAATCAGCGAAGTAAATGGGGCCTTAATATTTATTACAGTAAAAAACTCTAAAAAATAGTCACATTTAACTTTTTATTATAGTAAAAAGCTCTTACATAAAGTTATATTTCAACTCAAATTAAAAACTCAAATCAACGAACTAAACATGCCCTTATTGTGCTAATTATAAATTTAACATTTGAGTATAAAAAATACTCTATAATATAATATTATTTGTTGTGTTAAATTTCTCACCAAATATAACATATAAAAAATTTAATTTTTAATTACTATTAGTTGAAATGTTTACTTTTTCTTACGTAATCAATGTAATTTTTACATTTTTTAATTAATTTAAAAATAAAAGTTTACGTTTATAACTTTCAAAACTTAATAATTATAATAAAAAATAAATTTAACATTTTAAATATCATTATGTATTAAAATAAAAATAAAAATAAAAATAACATATTATATCATACTTTTTAATATTAAATATATAATTGACATTAATATTTACCTAAAATATTGAATAGGGTCCTAACTTCTTTCAAGATGTGATATATATTTTTTATTGTCGTTTTTACAACTGAGTTGTCCGCAGTCCGCATCAATAATATCTTTTAGTTACTATTGTCGTTTTCACATTGTTGTCATTTTGTTTACCAATAATAACGTGACGAGTTATAAGAAAAACCCATCAATTTTTTTATGCCCATCGCACGTCCGTTTGCTCTTCTGTTAACCTTTAGCTGGTGTGTGAAATTTTTGATGAGGTGTCTGATATTTATTGAAGCGACACACAATGACACAACAGATTTGGACTCGTGTCATAGTCTCTCTCTGTTTTTTTTTTTTTTAACTTTTTTACTTTTGGTATGCTTTTTTTTTTTCTCATAGCATCCCAATATTATAATTAATGTACTAATTATAAATTTAATATTTAAATATAAAAAATATTTTTTAATATAATATTATTTATTGTGTTAAATTTTTTATTAAATATAGTATA